GGCACACTCCGATTCTTCGTCATAGCCGCGATCGACGAAACGAATCGCCGATGAAAAAGCAACGTTCTATTATTACCAATATTATCTATTGCCATTATTCCTTTAAGGGTGGACGCCACCCTAAAAAAATCGATTCTATCTTTTTCTGGTTTTTATTATTATATATAAACACTAGTAAAATAATATACAATATTATTAAATAATATTATATAATAATATTATATTATTAATATTAATAATATAAAATATTATGAAATAAAATTATATAATATTAATAATATATAATATTATATTATTAATATTAATAATATAAAATATTACGAAATAATATTGTATAATAATATTATATAATATTATTTCATAATATTTTATATTATTTTACTACTTTTTATTATTATTATCATTGTTATATAAATGTTCGAAACCCCTAAAAAGGGGTTTCGATAACAACGAATAACTTTGCCAAATCGCGCGATTATGACTACGAGCAAAATTGAAGAAACGGAGCTGAAACTTACGTTTATATTCTCGTAGAGAGACTACATCTTTTATTTAGCGATTATCTATGAACAAATTTTCCAAACATTATCGGTTTCTTGACGCCTCACGGCTGCGCGACCCCCATTAACCAACTTGTATAACATTGCCTCTGCATTGTCTATTGACCCCAGCTTTTACGAGCAGTGACTCTCAAGGTTCTTAGATATAGGCATCGTTTAGTAATGTTATTAGTTTCGGTATCTGCTCGAGATAGACGCGTGGCAAGGTCAAGCACGATGCGAAGCCAGGCGAGGCGCGAAAAGACAATAGGCGAACAAAAGGATAATCGACAGATCATGGACGCTTGCTCGTTCTCTCTGTACTTTTCCTCATTATTATATTGCAGCATCTTGTAAATAATGAACAGTGTGCGAGTGTCTCTATGTCATTATAGTAGTATTTCTCTACTATTTAGTGTGATATATATATTTCACTATTAATATTGCACTATTATTTCTCTACTATTTATTATAGCATTTCACTATTAATATTTTACTATTATTTCTCTATTATTTAGTGTAGCATTTCATTATTAATATTGCACTAGTATTTCTCTACTATTTAGTGTAGCATTTTACTATTAATATTTTACTATTATTTCTCTATTATTTAGTGTAGCATTTCATTATTAATATTGCACTAGTATTTCTCTACTATTTAGTGTAGCATTTTACTATTAATATTTTACTATTATTTCTCTATTATTTAGTGTAGCATTTCATTATTAATATTGCACTAGTATTTCTCTACTATTTAGTGTAGCATTTTACTATTAATATTTTACTATTATTTCTCTATTATTTAGTGTAGCATTTCATTATTAATATTGCACTAGTATTTCTCTACTATTTAGTGTAGCATTTTACTATTAATATTTTACTATTATTTCTCTATTATTTAGTGTAGCATTTCATTATTAATATTGCACTAGTATTTCTCTACTATTTAGTGTAGCATTTTACTATTAATATTTTACTATTATTTCTCTATTATTTAGTGTAGCATTTCATTATTAATATTGCACTAGTATTTCTCTACTATTTAGTGTAGCATTTTACTATTAATATTTTACTATTATTTCTCTATTATTTAGTGTAGCATTTCATTATTAATATTGCACTAGTATTTCTCTACTATTTAGTGTAGCATTTTACTATTAATATTTTACTATTATTTCTCTATTATTTAGTGTAGCATTTCATTATTAATATTGCACTAGTATTTCTCTACTATTTAGTGTAGCATTTTACTATTAATATTTTACTATTATTTCTCTATTATTTAGTGTAGCATTTCATTATTAATATTGCACTAGTATTTCTCTACTATTTAGTGTAGCATTTTACTATTAATATTTTACTATTATTTCTCTATTATTTAGTGTAGCATTTCATTATTAATATTGCACTAGTATTTCTCTACTATTTAGTGTAGCATTTTACTATTAATATTTTACTATTATTTCTCTATTATTTAGTGTAGCATTTCATTATTAATATTGCACTAGTATTTCTCTACTATTTAGTGTAGCATTTTACTATTAATATTTTACTATTATTTCTCTATTATTTAGTGTAGCATTTCATTATTAATATTGCACTAGTATTTCTCTACTATTTAGTGTAGCATTTTACTATTAATATTTTACTATTATTTCTCTATTATTTAGTGTAGCATTTCATTATTAATATTGCACTAGTATTTCTCTACTATTTAGTGTAGCATTTTACTATTAATATTGCACTATTATTTCTCTACTATTTATTATAGCATTTCACACTAAATTGCACTTGTATTTCTCTACTATTTAGTATAGCATTTTACTATTAATATTGCACTATTATTTCTCTACTATTTATTATAGCATTTCACTACTAAATTGCACTTGTATTTCTCTACTATTTAGTATAGCATTTCACTGCTAATATTTCACTAGTATTTCTCTACTATTTAGTATAGCATTTCATTATTAATATTTCCCTAGTATTTTTCTACTATTTAGTATAGCATTCCACTACTAAATTACACCAGCATTTCTCTACTATTACCATTGCCCCCATTTCCAGCAGTAGAAATTTCTCTCGACTTCGAAAAATTTCCATATTTCTACTTCGAAGTACATGTGTGCCGTTCGTATGTCATGCAAAATGTAACGTGACTCCGGTCGCCGAAGTGTTAATTTCGTTTTCTTTGCTTTGAAGCACGTTTTGCCGTCACTGTAACGCGAAGTGCTAAAGGTTATTTGACGTAAACAAAATATGCACTGAATTCAATTGATCTCTCTCCTATTTACGCATGATCTCCAAACAGGTATTAACAACGCGTCACTTTGTTTGATTTACGGATTCGAACTCTTCATCGTCCGTACATACGTTTCTCATGTCAACATTACTATTAGAACGCGGATCTTTATGCAAAATAAAAGTTGTCCGCACCAATTGCAAGAGACGTAGTCGCACCGATTGCAATCGAGTTTATCTATCAAATCATTTTAATCGCGATAACTTTTTTAAAACTTGACCTGAATGATTTGAATTTCTTTTTTCTTTTTAGATGATATTTCACTATTCCATATTTTAGCTATACATTTTCCAGGTCTTAAAGACACCCATTTCACTTGCATTGCAGGTCTCAACATCTTTAAAACATTTTTGCTGGATCGAACGTCGTTTCGACGACTTAAAGATTTCTGTGTTAGGTCGTGAGACGTTCAGACCTACAATGGACCTAAAATAATAGAGATCCTAATGACAAAAAATTGAGAAACGAATTTTTCACCGTTTCTTTAATTTTCTACTGATACATTATTCAATATTAAGCACTGCTATATCCAAATAAATGTCGTAGAAACGTAAAAATATAACATTCGACTAATTTGTTTTCGCAAAAATGAGAACACAAAACGATCTTGAAGACGTCTTAAAGCCGGTCAGTTTTCTAACACAACACGTTCTTGAAGACGTCTTAAAGCCAGCCAGTTTTTTAATACAAGACGTTCTTGAAGACGTCTGAAAGCCAGCCAGTTTTACAAAGCAAGACGTCTTCGAAACGACTTGAAAACGTCTCAGAGATGTCTCTCAGCAATTCGGAATGTTTCCTTCGATCGGTTCTAAGCCCATCGAGATTTCTAAACTGTATACAGTAATGTCTCCCTTACTGACGCTCAGATTGTTCCCTAAAATGAATAATTTGGGAAGAGAAGATACGATTATCCGAGCCTTGCGGCTCGTTTTTATAATTGTTGACAATTTATAACTATAAAAGTAAACCGCAAGCCTCGAATAATCGTATCTCCTTTTCCCAAATTGTCCATTATTGTGGTCAATCTGGGCGTCAATTAGAGAGACATTACTGTACAGTGATGTCTCCCGAATTTTTATAGTTTAACTTTTATGCCTCTCGTTTTTATAGTTACGAATTGTCAAGGTTATGTCAACATTATGATGCAAGGCTCGAACAATCATATCTCCTCTTCCCATATTGTCCATTTTTGTGCACAGTCTTAGCGTCAGGTAGGGAGACATTACTGTACAGTGATGTATCTCTAATTGACGCTCAGATTGTCCACAAAAATGGACAATTTTTAGAAGATGTGATACGATTATTCGAGCCTTGCGGTTCGTTTTTACAGTTACAAATTGCCAAGGTTATGTCAAGGCTCGTACAATCGTATCACCTCTCCCCAAATTGTCCATTTTTGTGCGCAATCTGGGCGTCAATGAGAGAGACATTAGTGTAAAAATTATGAAATAATCGAATCTCTTCGCGCTTCCCGAATAATATGAATTGACCGACGACGATCTTCGCCGCCGTTCTCGGCCAATAGCGATCGAGTGCCGCGGCAGTGGGGCAGCTAAATAAATGTGTGGGTGTGGGGATTATAAGCGCAAAGGGACCTTCTTGTCGCGCGACGACTATACGTTGTTCCGCGTACAGCAGGGGTGTCAAACTCAAAAGCTAACTTGGGCCAAATGAACAGTGCTTAACTTTAGGTGGGCCGCAAAAAAAATTAATGTTTATAGAAATAAATATTTTTATTTTGACTATTACATTGTAATAAACATATATAAAGTTAAATTATTGTTTACGTCCTGATACTTGACATCTCTCGCAAAAATGTTCATCTTGGGCCGCGAGTTTGACACCCCTGGCGTACGGTAATGTCTCTCTAATTGACGCTTAGATTGTCCACAAGAATGGACAATTTGGTGAAAGCAGATATGATTATTCGAGTCTTGCGGTTCGTTCTTATAGTTCTTTACAATTCGTAACTATAAAAACTAACCGCAAGGCTCCAATAACCGTATCTCCTCTTCCCAAACTGTCCATTTCTATGTACAATTTGAGCGTCAGTTAGGGAGACATTACTGTAATCGAAACTGTCGCGCGACCGAGAACGGTCGATCCTTCCTGTTTCGACACGAGTAAATATAGTTCATGTTCGAACGTTTCCGTTGCAGAGCGTCGCGCGGTGCAATTATGCAAGAACTGTGATCGACCGAGCAAGGAAACAGTGAACCCCACGTGGCCGTGAAAGAGGAAGAGGGAGGAGGAGTAACCGGCGCTAGACATGCGTCTTCGAACGTGAATCACGGTCAGAAGGAAAACACCGTTTCCCCGTGAACACGGTCTCCGTGAGCGCGCACCGCACCGCGTCGAGACGACGAGCTCTCTCGTGATTTATCGCCAGGAGAAAAGATGACCGCCTCGCCGAACCATTGTTCACCGTCCCGGTCGTCCCTCAGCTGCTGCCAGGTCGATCACAATAGCCACGACGATGTCCACGGTGCCGCGATCGTCTCCAAAGAGAACTATTACCTGAAGGAGAAGCACTCGTTCCCGAAAAGGCCGGAAGTCGACGTGGCTTTCCAGGATCTGCGATTCACGGTCACCCAGTGGAGCATTCAGAGCATCCGAACCATCAAACCGAGTAAGTTCACACCTCGAACATGCTTTTAATCGCGCACGTTCCCAAGCGAAGTTCGATGCAATCTCCCGTTGCTGGTCCGCCGGTATTTTATTCTATTTATTTTATGCAGAAGAAGAAATAAAAAGAAAGAGATCTTATATGTATGTGCAGCCGTCGCACCAGTGCAATAAAGAAAAATCGAATATACACCGAGATTTACAAAACACGTTTTTCAGATTTTCGTTAGAAGCTCGGATAAAAAAGTTGAAAAGGAAAGTCTTTTTATTCTATCTAGCCTCTTTATTCCAAGTAATAGCAAAATTTAGAAAAGTTATGGTCTAGCAGACTGGTCACTCTGTCGCCTAAAAAAAGATCCAAGTCGTTTAGTTCAGTCCTAAAAAAGTTATCACGTTTTGAAAAGTGTCCGAATATTAACGGGAGACGCTGTATGTATTTATTTATTAGTAATTTATCGAAAATACAATTTTTCGTTCATAATTTTTCTATTTCTCTTTTGTATTTTTTTTCTATGAAATTTCTCATCCATTCTATTTGCCCGCACTATGACGCTTTTACTATATCTGCTGTATACTTATTATTATTATTATTATACTTTTTCTTTTATATTCTTTTCTATGAAATTTCTCATCCATTCTATTTGCCCGCACTATGACGCTTTTACTATATCTGCTGTATACTTATTATTATTATTATTATACTTTTTCTTTTATATTCTTTTCTATGAAATTTCTCATCCATTCTATTTGCCCGCACTATGACGCTTTTACTATATCTGCTGTATACTTATTATTATTATTATTATACTTTTTCTTTTATATTCTTTTCTATGAAATTTCTCATCCATTCTATTTGCCCGCACTATGACGCTTTTACTATATCTGCTGTATACTTATTATTATTATTATTATACTTTTTCTTTTATATTCTTTTCTATGAAATTTCTCATCCATTCTATTTGCCCGCACTATGACGCTTTTACTATATCTGCTGTATACTTATTATTATTATTATTATACTTTTTCTTTTATATTCTTTTCTATGAAATTTCTCATCCATTCTATTTGCCCGCACTATGACGCTTTTACTATATCTGCTGTATACTTATTATTATTATTATTATACTTTTTCTTTTATATTCTTTTCTATGAAATTTCTCATCCATTCTATTTGCCCGCACTATGACGCTTTTGCTATATCCGCTGTATACTTATTATTATTATTATTATTATTACATTTTTTTCTTGTCCTCGTATCTTGCACAATATTTCCGTGCATATTATCAATTTCGAGCGCGAGTTGTTAATGTTCGCGAATAAACGGATGACGAATCATTGACGCGTCAATTTACCACTGGTTTACGGTTCACGCCGATTATTTCGCGATTCTCTGCGTCATCGTCTTTACAGTACTAGATTATCGTTTTACAGGGTGCACTCGTGACTCTCATGGTGCTGCACGTTTTTTTTACATCGCTTAACACCGAACCTACCGCGGTCGAATGACCGGTCACAGGTTTTACGATTATAAAAATTGTGAAAACACTTTCACGAGAAAAAGTACGTTACTTTTCGTAGAAAAAGTACGTTATATAAGGTACGCCGGTCGATTTTACCCCGTTTGGTAGGTTTAGTATTCAAGTTTCTTTCACTTCTTTTTTAGTTTTCTGAGGTTCTAACAGTGCACGTCTTCTTAGACCCTTATAGGTTAAGTGTGCGAAGCCCCAAATATACTGTGATATTTTATAAAAGTACTAAAATCTAACATTTTATAGCGTGTAATTTTCTAGAAACGAATCTCATCATTTTTTATATGTTTAATACTGATAACTTATGACATATAAGTAATCGCAATCGCAGTTTTAATTCATTTATTGACTTTGATATTTGGAAGCTTATGAAATATTACAAGTCTTATGAAATACTCGTAACGACAGCTGTGAACGCTGATTCGAAAAGCATTTATATTTTGGTAATTAAGAACTGTTCATTTTAGCATTATTTTTAGATAAAGTAATCGTTACTTCGATGAAAAGTCGACGTACACTATCATCTACTCTCTGACACAGTATTTGGCGTTTAATTTTAGTTGTTACATAGTTGGTGGCGTTATTAGTTTTTTTTATTATGCGCGTACATTCCTGCGGTGCTTCACCGAACTATGTACCATAACCTATACAGTGCAGTTCTCGATGAGCTGGTACGAACACACCTGATCGTGGAGTACATATACTTAATTTGTAAAGTGCTGCAGTGAGAATACATTGATCCTAGATATTGTAGCTGTATCTAAAAGGAAATGGGTTATATCAACCTTTGTTATGCAATAATCGAAACGCCCTCGATACAATTTGGCTCGCAGTGGAAGATACATAACCTCAGTAGTGCACACGTATGGTCTCTTGACATTGCGATTTTTAACGAAATTTGTGCCTTCGAAGATCCAATATTTTTAGAAAAGTGTAGCTCGAGTTAACGTGTATGTATAGTGCTCGTTCGATTCTGACAAATCTCTTCGAATTAGTATTCGCCAAACTTGTTTCTCGCGGCGTTCATTTCTCGCAGCGATCATTCTAATGAATTTCTTCAACGTTCGCTAAAAGACATTCATTTGCATTGAAATTGGCGGCGGATTGCTCGAGAAACGAGTAACTGCGTTGCACACGGAAGACGTCGTTGATTCGGACGCCGCGCGATTTCCTTTCGTCGGGAGCGACGATTGCGCGAAGGTTTTCCCCTCGAGAAAGCGTGAATTTTGAAAAAGTCACCGCGGTTCATTCATAGGTCAGTTTCTCGGGCCCGCGACCGGAGCCCGCCGCGATTCCGTCGTTCTTCCCGTCTCGGCGTATTAAAATGTCACCGGTGACGTCAGGTGAAAGCGGATGGAAGTGGTCCTGCGAGCGGCGATGAAAGTTTGAAACGGGTGAAAGCGGTCGAGCGTTCTCAGAGAGGAGACAGACCTCTCCTCTCGTTAGAAACCGACGAATCGGACCAGAGTCGCGCCAAACGGCGCCCGTTTCGACATCACACGCTCGGAAACTCGTTGCAGAATTTATCGGATCTTAGAGCTATTCTTGCTTCTTTCCATTGGCGCGCGATTTTTGACACTGAATTAAAAATTAAGTTAAATAGTACTCGGTTAAGTTTAACTGAGTTAAAATTTTTGACTAAAAATTCGACTAATTTTTTTCATTCATGATTATTCAGATTATTCGATGTACAGTGAGCCACAAAAGTGTCCGTACACTTTTTAGAACGCAATAACTACTTTTAAAATTGGACAAAATTAATTTGTTGTTAGATGATAGACTAGTCTACTAAACAATGATTAAAATGCTTTCTGTTTTAATTTTCCTGTTACTTGGAGTAACAAAAAAAAAGGAAGAAATAGGAAACGAGAGTTTTTTTTATCTTTTTTTGTTATTCCAAGTAACGGCGAAATTAGAGAAAAGTATTTTAGTGATTATTTAGTGATAGACTAGTCTACTAAACAATGATTAAATTACTTTCTGTTTTAATTTCCCTGTCACTTGGAGTGACAAAAAAAAAGAAAGAAATAGAAAACGAGAGTTTTTTTATCTTCTTTTGTTATTCCAAGTAACGGCGAAATTAGGGAAAAGTATTTTAGTGATTATTTAGTGGACCAGTTTCTCTATCATTCAAGGAAAATTCAAGTCACATAGTCCAGTTTAAAAAAAAAGTTATTGCCTTTTAAAAGGTGTGGGGACACTTTCGGTTAGTGGTAACACTATTGCAGCAAATATTACAATAACATTCGATCAAAATCAGAATTAAATATTGCTACTTTCTCAATGTTACATCCTCACGTTATAACTTAATGTTATATTTTATTGTTACATCTTAACGTCACAACTTATTGTCACTTTTATTTTGTCGCTTTTACATTGTGTTTACATTGCCGCTTTTGAAAGCCAATAAATAGCAGCTGTTAGTGACCCGTAAATATAGTTTTAACGAGTCCTTCGAATTCAAAGACGCGATGCATGCAGATTTCTCGTGCGTTCTATCGCACGCATAAATTTTGTTTTGACTTTCGACCGAGCAAACAGCGTTCTTTCAAGGAGAATCTAATTATAATTTGTTTAACGATCGCGCAAAAAGCATTCTTTCAAGGAGAAGCTTCGGAACTGCTGCTTGTCAATGGCGCAACAATTGCGCGGGTCATATGCGAACGGAGTCTTCTATTTTATTTTCAACGATAACGAAACGTTCGGAAAAAAAGAAATAACATAATAGACTGTCGAAGCATAAAAGATACGCGTGTCTTCTTCGTGCTAGAAGATTCTCTCGCCGATAAACTACAAGGCAAGGTACTTTGCCTCTCATATTTTATTCAACCGCGAATGTTGCGCTCGCCGCTTACTCACGGCCCAAATGTATAATTCCGCGCGTGTCCGTTCTAAACGCGCCGAGATGAGCCGTGAGTTTCGTCGCCGACGCGCGATGCGACGATTCAGTATCGCCTCCGTTCAGTTTTACAGTTGTTTCAATACTGGGTGTCCCGAAAATGTCTCGCAATCCCGAAATGGGAGGTTCCCGAGGTCATTTGAAGCAACTTTCTCCTTTGCGAAAATTTTCTCCGAGGCTTCGTTTACGAGTTATTAACGAAAAACACTGACCAATAAGAGGCGAGCTCGGCTAGCGCGCGGCGGCCCAGCCAACGAGCGCACGGAGCCCAGTTCCGCTCATTGGCTCGGCCGTCTCGCGCCAAATGATCTCGCCTCCGATTGGTCACTGTTTTTCGTTAATAACTCGTAAACGAAGCCGCGGATTGCATTTTCGCAAAGGAAAAAGTTACTTCAAATGACATCAACTACCCCTCATTTTCGGCTGTTAAAATAATTGCGGAACATCCTGTATATGAAATTGACTTTTACAACTCGTGCGACAATTGCACTTTTAACAGTTATCTAAAATACAAAGAAATTTGATAACGTTACAATTATTTTAAAACGTTATACATAACAATTTTAAGTGGTGAGT